GAAGCTGGGAAATGAAGTCTTCCTCCTAGGAGGCAATGTGCCACCTAAGACAAGGAGAATGAATATTTGATTTGCATCCTGCTGCCTCTATCACACCTTTCTTCAGGTCCCCAGTTACTGGGACTGGGTGGGGGAGGTGGACACTTGGATGGCAGGTGAGGAAATGAAAGAGAACGGAGGAATAGTGAAGGCAGGAGGGATCTCGTATGTGAATTAGTGAAAGGCTCTGCCAAAGTGTATGGTCTTGGTCAGTCAGTTTCCATACCTGGGCTTCAATTTCTCCATCTATAATAGGATATATTATAAGGATTAAATGAGAAAATATGTATAAAACACCTGGCAAGGTACCTGGAACCTTCAGGGCCCAGTAAATGGTGATCACCGCCAGCCACTCCGTGGAAGGAAGACTGGGCAATCTACTTCTGTAAAGACTTACTGCCTCGGAATCCCAAAGGGTATTACTATGGGTTGGAATTGACTCGAGGGCAGTGAGTTGGTTTTTGGTTTGGTATTATGTTATAGCTCCCCAGCGCCTCCCCAGTGCATCCAAGCCTTTCCCTTACTAGCCCTGCCAACTCTCCAACTTATCCCTCAAATCCCTTCTCTAACAGCCTCCATGACTTTGCCCATGCTGTTCCCTGCCTTAAGAGCACTCTCACCCTCTGTCCTTCAATCCATCACATTCATCCTTCAGTACCCAGCTCCATCTGGCTGGAAGTCTTCCTCAACCCACAGGAGACTAATCTTAGACACCTCTGAACCAGCCCCTCACCACACTCCATCTGCACACCCCTGTCTGTTTCTCAGTCTATTTTCCACCCCAGCAAGCAAAGTATCCCAAGGGCAAGCCTCCCCTGCCATCACTGAATGCGCTTTGGGTTAAAGTGAGGAGGAAAAAGGTGGATTGGGAGTGGGTAGAGAAGAAAGAGACAAAGGGAGGGAGAAGGGAAGGAAGAATACAAGCCCTGCAAATGGTATTTGGAGTCCCTGGCACTGGCATGTAACTGGGTTTTCCTTCTTACAGGGACAGATGGGACTTAGGGATTGTGGCTTTTGTTTTCAAAAAAGTGTGCAGAGCTTTTTTCTTAAAAGATGGGCTGCCTCTCTGTGCTGAGGGAGAAAGGAACAGTTGTAACCCCTTGCATAAAGCCCCCTTTAGAAACTTCCTCTGCCTATCCCTAGAGATGGACCCCAGAGGAACTTGTGGTCCAATAAGGCAAAATAATTAGTATAATACTAATGTTGATTGTATGCTTACTATGATCTAGGCATTGCTCTAAGCGCTTTGCACACACTAATCAATTTAATACTCACAATGTCTATACAAGGTAGATGTCATTTTGTTCTCATTTTATAGCTGAGAAAGTTGAGGCAAAAAGAGGTTAAGTCACTTGCCTAGAGCCAGGATATACCCAGGCGGTCTGGATCTGGCATCTGTACCCTTTATGCTATTCTGCCTCTCAAAGGGAAGCTGGGAATGGAATTGATGTGTGGCCCACAATTTCCACTCTTGGAAAAAAACCAGCATTCACAGGTCCTGGTACTCTGCTGAAACTGTTACCTGGGACTCTGCTCAGGGGCTCAGCCTGGGCTGTGGGCAGGGGATGCTCTGTCTGCTTCTCTCTCTTCCCCTACTACACCCTCCCCTACCACAGGCCATTGGAGAGTCTGATTGCAGATTTGGAGCAGGAGGCAAGGTGGGTAATATCTGAATAGCCTGGCATGACATTGCACCATACAGAGACTAAGAACCAGTTTCTGTCTTCTGACATCTCCATGCTTCTATCTCTCTGTGGTCAAAAGAATCAAAGTACAGTTTACCCTCAAACAACGTGAAGTTTAGGGATGCCTACCCTCATGCAGTAAAAAATTCACATATAATTTTTGATTGCCCAAACACTTAGCTATTAATAGCCTACTGTTGACTAAATACCTTGCTGATAACATAAACAGTCAATTAACACAATTCTTGCTGTACAGTTATTATATTTTTACATGAAGACACTCACACACATACACAAAAGTTTATTGACTGTATGATAGGATTATTTACTATTCATGAAGTGGAAGTGGCTCCTTTAAAGGTCTTCATCCTCATCATCTTCACATTGAGTAGGCTGAGGAGAAGGAAGAAGAGGAGGGGTTGGCCATGCTAACTTAGGGGTGGCTGAGGTGGAAGAGGTGGAGGAGGTAGAAGGCGAGGCAGGAACAATTGGTGTAACTTTACAGAAATAATTTCTGTCTGATGTTTTTGCTTTTTCATTTCTCTAAAAATGTTTCTCTGTGGTACTAATCCTTCTTCCACTGTTCGCTTTGGTTTCAGTGGCCATATTATAGAAGGATCTGTGTCGTAAAAGAAGACAAAGCAGTCTTGAATTCCAGGGAACCTCTACCAAGATTGTCTTTCTCATTTAATCACTTTGCATCCTGGCACAGCTTTTTCCACCTCTTCCTCATCATCTGGCACTGGTTAGGATGTACTCATCTCCAAGTTGTCTTCAGTTAATTCCTCTGGTGTGGTGTCTATTAGCTCTTGAATTTCTTCAAGAGCCATATCTGGACCCACACAGTTCAAACTCATGTTGTTCAAAGGTCAACTGTACTTCCTGCCAAAATCTCCAGCCTCTCCAACAAGGGCAGTTTCGATCAATTCTCAAGAGGATGGCTGTGGTTTCCCTACTTCCTTAGCAAGCACACCTCTGACAATACTGTGGAGTTGAACTCCACCAGAGTTCTTCCCTGAATGCCCCTGTTGTCCAACAGTCCTGGAGATTATACCCTGTCTCTCTGTCCCCCCAACATATTTTGCCCTGCCTTCTAAGAAGGAAGGTTCACTTTTCCACTGGCTTGTTCTGTTGAGTATGGGGTCTGTGTGGTACCCTAGCCAAGGGCAGGCTACATTATTCTACATGAAACAAGCTGAGATCTGGAAGGAGGGAATGAAGACCAGAGGAGAAGTGGGGAGGCAGGTGGAAGAATGAGAAAAAAGAAAAAAGGACAGAGAAAATGAGGAATAAGGGAATAGCTAAAAGTGGCAGTGCTCAGGAGAGAGCATGGGGAGAGGGCGTGGGAGAGCTTGTATCATGTGATTCCACTTTGCTGTCTCTCTCAGTCACCTTCAGTGAAGATGCCTTTCTAGCTCAGAGCTGTTTCGGATGCCTTGACATATGCAAAGGAGCTCTGGTGGTGTAATGCCTAAGGCATTTGACTGCTAACCAGAAGGCTGGCAGTTCAAACCCACCAGCCACTCCTCAGAAGGAAGGTTGGTCAATCTACTTCTGTAGTGGTACTGCCTTGGAAACCCAAAGAGGAGTCACTATGAGTTGGATCCAACTCCACAGCAGTGGTTGCATTTTTGCATCTGACATATGTGATGGCATCAGGGAAAACTTTTGGGTACCTGCAGGTCAAAATGATGGTTCTGAGAGGGCAGGAGTGGAATGCAAAAAAAGTCTGTCGTGAGACCCAGTAGATAGGTTGTTAGCTACAGGACCTCCATGGAGCAGCCTCTGGTGGCCTTGGGGATGGCCCTGGGCCATCTCAAGCTATGGACTTCTCCTTTTTGAATATGCTGCATGTTGAGGAATTATTTCCCCTCACTAGGGGTCCTGGTGAATATATCCCAGAAACCAAGGATACCCTGAGCCTGAAAGAGCCACTTTGAAGAGGTAGGTGAAGGAGAGAGGGTGCTCTGGGGCTTTTCCTGGCATTTGATACTCTGGCCCCAGCTCCTCTTCCAGCCATCTGCATGTACACACCCAACCTTCCAGGTTTATCTGAAACTCACTGTTGCTTTATAGTCATGGTCCTTTCTACCTCTGGGTTTTGTACACACAGTGCCTTCTACCAGGAGCGGCCTCCTTGTCTGCCTATTAAATTCCTTCACAGCCTAAGCTCCACCTCTTCCAAAAAGCCTTACGGATGCCCTCTGTAGACCTCCCCTAGCCTAGATTCTCAGGCCCAGTCTTACCCTTATCTGGACAGTGGCAGTGGACGGCTCTTATTTTCGCACACATAAGGCCAAATGCTCTCTCTCTACCCCAATCCTCTGCCTATCTCCCCCAGGAAAAGCCCAGGATAAGCAGACCCAGGTTGCACAAAGTTACTCCCCACTTCTGTTTGCTGAGCTCCCTCTTAGCTTCAGCCTCTGGTTCAAATGGCTCCTCTTCAGTGAGGCCTTCCTGACTCCTTGGGCTGGGTGCCAGAGGCATCCTTTGGGCATCTCCTCACCTCCTGCTCTGACATCACCGTGTCTATACCTTTAGGAGTTGGAAGCTTGTATGGGGCAGGGCTAGGGCTGGTTCTTCTGGGGCCCCAGAACCAACCCAGGCCCAAACATCAAGATGTCAATACAGGTTTGCTGAATGAATTGTACATCATATCCCCTCCAGAAGAGCTTATATTCATCCCTAAAAATGTAGCTCAAATGCCCTCTCCTAGGAGCTTCCATCTTCCCCTCCCATCTTCTCCTCCCATCTTCCCTCTTCTTCTTCCTTGGTGACTCCACAGCATGTAACAGCCTGATTACAGTATATGTTCCATTATATTTTTGTGAGCAGTTAACATGGTTTCCCCAGCTCCTCATGGCCAACTGGGTAGTGCTAGACACGACCTGAAAAAAACTCAGTGTCATCCAGTCAATTCTGACTCATAGCGACCTTCATTGGGTTTCTAAGGCTGTAAATCTTTATGGAAGCAGACTGCTTCATCTTTCTTCCACAGAACAGCTGGAGGTTGAAAAGTGTCAACCTTTTAGTTAACAGTCAAATGCCTAAACCACTATACCATCAGAGCTTCTTAGGTCCATGCCCAGGAGTGTCTGTCTCAGAGAACGGGCTCAATAAATAGCTACTGGTGAGATTTCAGGATCTTAGGTAACCTCACTCCATGCCCAGCTGAGCTGAGCTGTGATTCTCTCTCTGCATGGTTTGGAATTGGTGAAGCTTCTGCCGCCCCAGCCACAATGGCACATATATATGATGGTTACTCAGGCCCAGGGCTCAGCGATCTTGTCGTTGCCACTTGGCTGTGAGTTTCTGCAGTAGCTCTTGTGGTCGCCGGCGGAACTTGTGGGTAAAGTAGAAGAGGATGGGATCCAACACACTGTTGACGCTGGCAAAGGGCCTTGTGCCCTTGTAGGCGGCTGCAAAGGTCTCCAGCATGGGGCAGGAGACTCCAGGTGTAGAACGCACTGCCAGGTAGGCTGTCTTGGTGATGTGGAAAGGCAGGAAACTGATGACAAAAATAGCTGCCACCACCACAGCCATGCGGGCCGCCTTGCCACGTCGCTCCTGAGCCATGGACCCTGCTGGACCATCCTGGTGGCACAGGTGGTGGGCCATGCAGTAGTAGCAGGCCAGTAGAGCAGCAAAGGGCAACAGGAAGCCAATAACTGTGAGGGTCATGCCATAGGGCATGTAGCTGGTGGCCAGGGCTGGCGGGCTTAGGTCATAGCAGACAGTGCGGTTACGTTGGATGCCTGTGGTGGCAAAGACAGCTGTGGGCAGGCACTGGGCGGTCACCGCCAACCACACAGCTCCACACACTAGCCAGGCAGCCCGGCGGCCCCCACGTTTGTGCCAGAGGGCCAGAGGGTGGCAGATGCCCAGGTAGCGCTGGAAGCTGATGCAGGTGAGGAAGAGGATACTGCCGTGCAGGTTGGCATAGAAGAGGAATCGGACTAGGCGGCAGGCGAAGTCACCAAAGGGCCAGTGGTCACCACGGGCATAGTTATAGATGAGCAGGGGCAGGGAGCAGGCATACATCAGGTCAGCCAAGGCCAGGTTCAGTGTGTACACGGCTGTGCGGGTCAGGGCTCGACGGGACATGCAAATCTGGGCAATAACGCAGGTGTTGAGTGGTAGGCCAGCTGCTAGCACCACTGAGTACACAGGTGGCAGTAGAAGCTGCTTGAAGTTCTCACGGTAGGTGCAGGTAGTGGGTGGTAAGGCCAGGTCATGGCTAGTGCCATTGCCCAACTCCATGACTTCCCAACTGGGCCTCCTGTATCTGGAGACACTGGGGAAGCAACACACAACCTGTCAGTGACTGCACCCAATGACCACCCAATAGGTCTCTGACTATCTCTGGGCTTTAATCTCTCCATCTGAACAGTGAGGGCACCAAATTTGTCCATCTTTGATATCCACCACCCACACAGAGGCCCCACACAGCCCTCACTTTAAGGAAATCTGGAATGCAATAAAACTCAAGCTTTGGGGAAATCCAGTCTGCTTTCTTTTTGTACTATCTCTTCCTCACCAGCCTTCCTAGTTAACTCCTATTCATCCTTCAAAACCTTGGTCAAGTGTCTTTTTCTCTGTTAGTGGAGGCTGATAGACTTAGGTTTGAATCCCCACTCTGCTACTTACTAGCTGTGTGAACTTGAGCTAGTGATATATCCTCTTTGAGCCCTAGTTTGCTCATCTGGAAAATGGGGGAATAGTGCACTACCTCTCAGGGCTGTCCCCGGACTAGAAGCACTAAAGCACACTATGGAGGGCTTTCCTTGGGCTCCCTGGGGTTTGGAGATTGTGACTGCAGTGGTCCTTCCTGTCTCTCCCCACGGACTGGGAACTCCCTGAGAAGAAGTGACAGGTCTCATGCCTCTAAGTCTTAGAGCTCAGCCCAGGGCTTGGTTGACTGACATGACTAGAATGTTGGCACACCTTTAGCTGACTGGGGGCAGCATCCACCTCCTCAATCTGGCCTCCACCTTCCAATACTGTGGTGCTTCTTTTGGCTGCAGTCTCCTTATCTGTAAAATGGAGAAAGGAGGGGATTTAGAAGTTTCCTAAGGGCTCCCCCACCCCAGTTAACTTGAGGTTTTGTGTTTGGTTTTGAGGTTACAAAGGCTGGTCTGGGAGCAACACTGAAGCAGCAGCACCGTCTAGTGGTAAGAGTGAACATAGCTTCCCTGAAGGCAAATGGACGAGGACCAATCAACTCAAACCTTTTATGGAGAGGGAAAACTCAAAAAAACGCGCTGCCATCAAGTCAGATCCGACTCAAGTTTCCAAGGCTGTATCACTACGGAAGTAGATTGCCCAACCTTCCTTCCAAGGAGTGGCTGGTGGATTTGAACCACCAGCCTCCTGGTTAGCAGTCAAATGCTTTAGGCACTATACTGCCAGAGCTGGGGCACATTGAAGGGTGGTGACTGCTGGCTCTTACTCAGTGAGTTAGAAACAGATTCAACATCAGAACCAATCATCTGACTCAGAGAAGGCAGGTTGGCCCAGGATGTGTAGGTTACTAGCCCATCTTCAGAGCTAGACAGGCCTAAGTTCAAATCCTGACTGCCCTACTTCCAAGCTGTGTGACCTAAGGCATGTCATTTGCTTTCTTTGGGCCTGTGTCCTTATCAATAAAATGTGCCATGGGCCTGACATGCAGTAAGGGCTCAATAAATGTCATGCCATTGTATACCACAGCTTGGCCCTTATCCGTCAGGGCAGCAACACAAATGCTTTAAGGGATTTCCTGAGGGGGAAAGTCTGACTCCTTTATACTTACCTGCAAACAGGTATTTCCATGTTTATTGGCATCTAGAGAGAATTTACAACCTAAACCCAATGGACCTCTAAGGCAAAGCCTTTGAGAGAGTGAATCCAATCTTCCCATCTCCCTATTTTACAAGTAAGATAAACTGAGCCTTAAAAAAAAAAGAAGAAGTCTTGCAAATGCACTCACAGGGTAGTAGAGGGTTGAGACTGAGTGCAGGAACCATGGCACAAATGGCCAGGTTCACATCTCAGCTCTGCCATATGTGAATGGTGTGGCTTTAACCTCTATGTCTCAGTTCCCCTATCTGCAAAATGGGCCTATACAGTACCTGCATCATGGGTGTGTGGTGAGGATCAGTGCCTGGCACAAGTCAAATATTAGCTATTCTTAATGTGAATATGGGAGCTCTGGTGGTGTAGTGCCTAAGGCATCTGACTGCTAACCCAAAGGCTGGTGGTTCAAACCCACTAGCCCCTCCTCGGAAGGAAGATTGGGCAATCTACTTCTGTAGAGATATCACCTTGGAAATGTTATGAGTCAGATCCGACTCGACGGCAGTGTGTTTTAATATGAATTTACTTTGCCAGTAGGAAGCTGCTGAGTAAAGTTATAAAAAGGTAAAGTTTTAAAAAGTTATATTAAAGCAAAGCATAACTCCCCAAACTAATTTCTTTCAACTTAAATTTCATTTTGATAAAAATATCTTACTGAAATTCTGGCCAACTACAAAATGATGACGTTAGGGTTTTCTAGTTTGCAGCCCACATCTCATACCACCTGGTCTTTCATCACCAAGACTCCTCTGTGAGCTTCAGTCCATGTGGTCACAGTGCTAGGTGCCCAACTAGGACCAGAAAAGGAAGTATGGGTGGTCCCCTCAGTGTGGCCGTGAAGCCAAATTAGTATAGGGAAGAGAAAGTTCATTCATTCATCTTTTTAGTCATTTGGTCAGGCCATTAACTCATTCACGCATTAGTTCTCTTGTTTTCACATTCTGAGCATTCACTATTGGTTGGGCACAGTATATAGATGTAGTTGTGGATGCAGAGAGAGAGAGAGGGACACAGAGAGAGAGAGGGACAGAGAGAAAGAGAAAGAGAGAGAGATGCTAGTGTAGGCCAGAGGATAGAGGGGACTTTTAGAGGAGGCTGAAGGATGAAGCAGGGCACTGGTGGTTGAGGAGGATTTCCATGGGTTGAGAGGAGTGTGGGGACATCTAAGGTGGAGAAGGTGGTGGAGCCGGCAGGTTCTGAGAGGCTCCTGAGAGGAGCCTGTTGGGGCTGAGAGCTCTGGTGAGGAGAAGAAAGGGGGTAGGAGGAAGGGTGCACTTTGGGAGGCCTGGCATCCTCAGAGAGAAGACCCAAGAGAGCCCCTACCTCAAGTGCCCTGACACTTTATGGTTTTTTTGCCTCTCCCAATTCCTGACCCTCCTGGGCTCCCTCCCCTCTCACTCAGAAGGAGGCAGGGGGCTGCACAAAGGGATCTAGGGAGCCCTCTTACCTCCAGACAACACTTCAGGGTCATGCGGGCAAAGGCAGGCTTGGCTGTTGCCCAGCTCCTCCATCTACTCTGCCTTCTGAGGAAGTAGGAGGGGTGAGCTGCTCTCCCAGTTCCTGGCAGGAGCTGGTGTGGTCCTGACCTCAGGCTGCAGCTGGTGTGGTTCCTCTATCTCTCACATCTGTCACCTGCTCTTGGGGTCTAAGCCCTGGAACAGCTCAGACACCCGCCTCTTCCTGGCCAGCCATTACTCTGGCAAGGTGTGTGTGTGGGGTTTCTAACAAGTGAGTCTAAATTCGTTCTTCCCTACATCCGGCTGCTTTTTTGGGAAAAGCCCAAACCCCTCACCTGACACTCAAAGACCCTGTGAAGCCCTCCAGTCTCATCTAAAGTACCCCAGCCCCACTCTACCCTCCCTCTCATTCCTGCTCCTCCTCTCTAGTCACACTTCCTCAGACAACAATACTTCCACACAGTTAGCCACTCACAGGCCAGAGACCAGACTCCTCCTCTTGCCTCCCCATCTTTGCGGCTCCCTTCAAGCAAAATGCCATCCAGCTCACCTCCATTGTCAAAACTCTAGTCATCCATCAAGCCCCAGATCCAAAGTGGCTTCTTACTTTTCTAATCCCCTAGCTGGATGGAGTTCTTTCCTGAGTCCTCCAGTTCTGTGACACGCTAGATCACCTAGATCAAGGGTTCCCTAGATGCCCTTGTGCAGATGTCCTAGACAGGACTCAGCCTGTCTGCCCAAAGACACAGTTCCTTGTGTCCAGCTGTTTTCCCCTCCTCACCCTCCACACTGGCCCATGGCCTCCAATACACTGACACTCACATGCAGCGTCCTGTCCCCACAACACCTTGGTGGCCTTGAGTGTGTTGGAGCAAGGAGGGACCAGACCCAAGGCTTCCCATTCCTCTGCCCTCAGTCCAGACTGGAACACCTCTGACGGGGTGGACAGCTTCCTCTGTTTCCTGGAGGGCCTGTCTCTGACTGAAATAGCCTGTGGGGGTGGCCACCTCCCTGCCATCCGCAGAGCCAAGGTCTGGCGGAAGGAAACTGGGCTTGGAGGAACATGGAGGTGGAGAAAAAGACCTTCCCGCAACCCTTGGCCACCCAACAGGGTGGCGGGTAGAGATTATTCCCTCCAAAAACAAGGAAACTAAGACTCAGGAAGAGCCAGTAGTTGCCAAAGGTGTTACAACCAAGCGGCATTTCAACACAGTCTTTCCAAGCCTAAACAACAACAACAACAACAAAGCAAACTCTCTGCTGTTGAGTTGGATCCAACTCGTAGTGACCCCTCCTTGGGTTTCCGAGGCAGTATCACTACAGAAGTAGATTGTCCAACCTTCCTTCCTTGAGTGGCTGGTGGGTTTGAACTGCCAGCCTTCTGGTTAGCAGTCAAATGCCTTAGGTACTATGCCACCTAAGACCCCCTTTTTCCATTATTTCTCCCAAAGTCCATACTTAGATATCAAATGAGAGCATTCCCAGGAGTTGTGCCTTGCCTGCACTGAGAGCCTGTGGCCATGAGATGGCGCTGGCAGACAGCCTGAGACAGCCAAGCTGGCCCCCATCTTCCTCTGCCTCGAGGCAGGCAAGGGCTTGGCAGAGTCTCTGCACACAGCACAGGCCTTTCCCCTGAGACTGGTACTGAGCAGCCTCAGTGTTGTGTTCCCAACCTCAGTTCCTCCTAACCTACTTCCCAGCCTTCCTCTTACTTATCATCAGGACTCAGGCTTGCTTCTCAGATAGCCTTCCCAGGCTTGAGGGCTCAAGCTTGTTCTCAGTTCCTCAACCTGGTCATGGTGGCTCATGGGAGCAACTGGGAGCATTGGCAGGGCAATAGGGCCAGTGCTGAGTCCTGTCTGTCTGAGGTAGAGGCTGTGATGCCAGGCATCCAATGTCCATCTCCACTCTAGATGTGCCTTTGGCAGAAGCAATAAAGTCTCTCACTCCATAGAGGGGACAACCTCTGCCAGCTTCCTCTCCTCT